GGGAAGGGAAGGGAAGGGAAGGGAAGGGAAGGGAAGGGAAGGGAAGGGAAGGGAAGCAGCTGCACCTCCTTGCCCACAGAATTGCATCTCCAAGAGGCTTGGTGTTTCCCTACCCATCAAAAAGGAGAAAGAAGGAAATTACATCTCTTTGGATGCTTTTTCTCTTTCCCTCTCTTTCTAAGGGCCCGGACATGAAACCAGGACGGCGAGCCTCTGGCATTTTACTCACACCGCATGGGGTACATTGCTGCTGGAGAGAAGCCAGGGGTACAGAACATTCATCACCCCTTTTCTGGCGATGCAAAAGCCTGTCTCAGCCTCATGTGGCTGCTTGGTCTCTTTTCTGTGGAACGCATGAAGAGGGCTGTGCACCATTCTCCCACCTTTGCCCTGTGGCTGGAAAATAGCCTGGCACTCCTGGAGACTGCGGACCAGAATCCAGAACGTCTGCGTGTGGCTGAGTGATCAAATGTTCCCATAGAGCCCTTTTGCTGAAGCATGGTGCCCTCTGTCCCCAGGACCGGAGGGGCCGAGCACCCTTTGGGGCGAGGCAGCACGGCCGAGGGTGGTGGCCCGTCCGAGTACCCGACTGCCGGCTCCTGGACCAAGGGGTGACTTCATTCTCCTCTCAGCTGCCATTTAGACCCCAGCCCCTCGCAGGCTCGGCAAGCTGTTGGCAGCCGCAGGTGGGGAGCCCCGCGTCCGGACCGGCGCTCCTCAGCCCGCTCCCTGCGGCTCCCCGCGGCTCTGCCGTGTTTTCCCCGGTCGTGTTCCCCCTCTGTCCTCTTTCCCTACGCCAGCAGCTCCGCAGTGGGGGAGAGGGGGAAGCGTGTGAGGGTGCTTTGGCTGCCGGGGCCGACAGGGGCTCCAGCCCAGCCGTTCTCCCTGGGACAGCGGGGCGGGTTCGCGCCCTGCACAGAGCCCCGAGCACAGCTCCGACGAATCCTGGGGGTCACCCCACGGCGCTCTCCTCGACAGCAGCCCTCAAGGAGCACAGCTTGCACCCCATGGGCTCCTCCGGGTCTTGTGCCKCTCCCCGGGCAGTACCGGACTCCCCGGTGGCGGGACACCCTCTCTAAAGCCTGAGGCCGGGGCGGGAGGGGCCGGGCACCGCTC